AAGAGCCTACACATCAGGATTTGAGACCTGGGTATGGTCCTGCGAGTTTGAATCTTAGACTCACTATGTTTGCAAAGCGGATTGGTATACTGGTGAGTAAATGTTCAATAGTGGACGGCTCAACGATTAGTCACTGGAGTTCAAGACGCCTCCCGGAAGTGAAAAGCATCCCATCTATCATAGATTTCAGGTCATTAATAGCTACTCGGGTCTTGAAGACACTTATCTCAATGGTTTTCCATGTTTAGTGCTAACACCATTTTTATGAGGAGCATCATAAAAGTAGACTCCGTTGGCGCACTTTTTGGCATCTTGTATCCCTCAACATCATCATGTACCATTTCCATCAGCACTGTAGAGGACACATCGCGTGACTTTATCTCTCCAGAACAGTCCCACTGTGGCCTCACCTAACAGACCATTGAGATGTATCAGTCTGGAGAACACTGCAGTTCGAATTCATGTCGTGGTTGCTCTAGCTGTCAAGATGTGTCGACAAACCAACATAGGCCAGTCTTATCATCAGTCCTCTGATCCATTACCCATAATATATAGATTATAAGCAAATAGAGATAAAATTAGGTCAAAAGGCATGGTGATCACTCAAGAGACCGAAACCCTTCATTGCTGAGGGGGTGCTCTACATTTAGTTGATCCTCCACCGCTTACGTGTTAGTTACTCTATTTCCGAAGAACAGGAGAGTCTAAAATAGACAGAAACAAAAAGTGTTTTTATCAAATCAGCATACTTGTTGGAGTAGGAAGCGAATGGCACGGGATGCTTGATGATTCTCCTTTCTTTGCTGTTTGATCATACCACCCTGCCGTTTGTAGGTCTTTTAAAAATACTGTATGGCGGCTCCGTCGTTGATTATATTGTATGCTCATGTGCTCATGTCCAATAGAATGGAAACCGGTACTCTGCAAAAATTAGTTTCCCAATGTTGCGTTACTAACAGTCTGGAACCCTTACCGGTCCAACTCTCCAGGTCATTCATAGCACCAGCATAGAGACTGAAAACAGTTTGCCTTTTCTCTTCCACCTCTCCCGTAGTTAAAAGCCCATTCTTGACCTGGTGTCGGAAGGTTTTGGCCTGGGAAGAAGCATCTTTGTAAAGTGCCTTCTTGCTATCAAGAGCGTAAGACGACATGTGTGGATGTTTGGACACCAGCATCGCTTTGCTAATACGATAATTTTCTCTTCGCCTTTTCAAATAAGAGTGTGTTTCAAAAGCAAGGTAATAGTGCTCCGCACGTTTCCAATCTAATTGCTGTCAGTGAGGCATATCGATTCCATAGGGACATACAAACCATATCTAGCCCACAATAAGGAATCCTTGCAATGCATCACGATCAAATGGTGTGAATGTAGCCAATTTGAGTGTGTTGTCTGTTGTTACTTCGGGGGTGGGTTTTGTTACATATACTCCAGGTGGGACACGTATGTGTGCTATCGATCCTGGGAGTAGATTCAAAGCAATCTCCCACCCACAAAATTCCTCCTATGGTTTATATCGCATTAAATATTTGTTTGAGCCTAGTGTAAGTTTAGGAGAGCCGCAATACTGCATGCTTCCAACGATATACCGCATTTTCGTCTCTTTCGATCAGTCCATTTCCGTTCATCAACATCTAAGATATAGCACGTAGTAGCCGGGGCTTGGCAAAAGGAAGCAATAAGGAATATTCTCTTGGCCTTATTGTCGATTCTAGGAGGTATGTTATCAAGTCACCGGACACATTTTCGGAGCTGTTGCTCAAAGGTTTTGCTCTGTGTAAAGATTGCTGAAGCGCAATGTTGCAAAAACATCATACCCAAGTAAATTGAGTCGTTCAGGAATTAGACAGTAGTTCCAGGTCATCGTACGAAGCTTGTAAGACTACCCATCATCACTACCACGAAACCGGTCACGTTCCTGTTGACGGTTCTTCAGGAACTCAGTTCTTGACTCTGGGAATTATTTTGCTCCCAGGGGCCTTTGAAGGTTTTCAGGGAGCCAAGAAGCGGCTTCTAGAAGTCAAATCGGCCCCAGGAAACCCGAAGTATCTTGTCGGATATACATGAAGCATACGGAACGGATGGAGATATGATCTACGCAGAACCCACATGGTGTATATGAGTTTCCCCTGAACGTGAGGAAGCTACCTTTTTTTTGCTTTCTGTGCTATGTTTTGTATCTAGAGTTGACTATAGTTTTCTTTAATATTGATCACTGATCTGTATACGCTGTCCTCATCTACGGATACATGAGACCCTCACACTGTCGATGAGGATAGTGGCCAGGGTACGAAGTACAATAGGAGTAGTAGGCCGGTTTCGATTGATTGATTTATTCATGGACTGTACCAGCTGCCCTATTGGCCGCTTTGCAGCGATAAGCATGCCAGGTTTGATCGAGGAGATCAAACCGAAAACCAAGTCTCGGTCCTTGTACAACAAACTCCACCGCCCTTTGAAACAGGGCTTCCCAACTTGCTTGAATCGACGTCCGTTGCCGGACATCAAGTTCCTCTCTTCTTTGCATATTTCTTCTCCACATCTCGCTATAGCTATCATCGATCTGCAGCCTATTTTCATGCTCGTAATAGTCTTCGCTGTCAAAATCAGGGTCATAGGGATACTCCAATTCTTCCTCCGCTTTTTGGTCGTAATAATTTCCAGAGTGCAAATAGCCGGAAATTTCATCTTGACATTTGGCCAGAGCGCCAGAGAGCGCCGTTCGAGTGCGTGGCTCATTGGCTTCGTTCAGATACCTATTCACTTCATCCTCAATCCGATTGTGGAAGAACGGAAGCAAAAATTGGCAGTTTGCTCGGTATCCGCGTGCTATTGAGCAAAAGAGGTCAAATACCTCTCGGGAGTTATTTGGCTGCAAACGTGCTTCCCAGGTGTTTGAAAGAAGATCTCCAAGATCGTAGTGCGACCAGGGAAAACAAATTATCCTCGTAATTTGGAATGTTCTCCAAGAGTGAACGAAGTGCCCTTCGATACAGTTGATACGCAATATCGGTCTCCATCGCAACGGGAATGCTGTAATGGCGAGAATGCGAAATGGCCTGCACGTTGGTGTCCTGGAACAAATTAGTGATGATGCGAGCCAAGACAACGAATCACGTGCTTGCGTTATGAGTCATGACAAGGCACTCGCCGTAACCCGCCCAAAGCGAGAACCCTGATCATATCGCCAGTAAAGGGTGGGTCCGCCACAGTAAACATGTTTGCATAGTTTATATCCCATCTGATTGGTCTAAATCTGACCGCTAGTAATATGAATTGCTTGGCAATACCTTTTCGAACCTTCTCTCTTTCACATTCTTTCATTACGCCCCTCTCCTAGCGTAATTTCTTTTACCAATCACGTGCCATTTTCATTGCCAAATCATTCCCATTACATTCCCCGACATCATGAGCGCCTTTCTTACCAACGAGCCCGCGTACAATCGCTACCTAGAAGGCGGCCTGAACCTTCCTACCTATAACACGGTGAGCTTCGCTGTCATCTAATACGTTCCCTGTCTATTCCTAGTTTATTTCTAATATATTCATAGGACCAAAATGGCAACATTGTCCTTATAGCTGGCGAAGTCTTTTGCCGCGTTGATAGCTATACTAGTAAGGACGTGAGTTAATACTTTTATAACACCTCCCCAATTTATTCGGAATATATTCTAACTTACCTAGGCCAAATTCTCGACTTCCGGTAACCTACGAAACTATCTAAAGACGCACCCCACTATCTCTCTCCCTCCTACTAGTCGCGCTAGCCGCTACACCAACTCTCCTCAATAGTAAGAGCTTGGAAGAGCTGAGTAGCATCGGGGTGGTTATCCATAATTGATAGGTATCGCGAGGAATTCCTAATTACGTGCGTGCGTGTAGGTGAGTTCTTGGTAGTAAAAAAAGGGGTAAATAGGAATTGAGTGCGAATACATTAAGAATAAATACACTACGTTTTAATTTACAAAGCCGAACAATATAGCTTTCGAAGGGTGACAATACCTCTAACACTTGGCACCTTCAGATTAATTTTTTACTGTGGCCCGAAGCTCCGACTGTGGCAGACCCACCCGTTGCTGGCTATGTCACATATGCTCTCGCCCAAAGCCCAAAGCGCCAACAGGACGCGTCTTAGTCATCAGACCAGTGGGCGGCTTGTCATCTGGAAAACCCAAGACCCCGTATAACTCAAAAACAAAACAAGCTGTAGTGGACGGGCGTTAGAGCTAGGAGTATTCAGAAGAAATTATTTTGACGAAGGAAAAAGGAGATTGGTGATAATGAAGAGTAATATAGCTCGTAGCCTAGGTGTAGGATTCCAAGGATAACACACCCTGGCTTGGCTGGATCCTAGTGACTAGAGTGAAGCTTCTAGGCACTATTGTGCTTGCTCATAGAAGCTATTACAACGGTTCCTGAGAATTAGTAGCTCCCAGGAATAAATAGTGCGATACTGGAGACGAGGCACGCGTTCCTGGTGCTAATACAAGGACTCATCACGACGTGCTGCAGCTTTTGGAAATCTGGCGATGGCGGTGGGTACAGAAAAGCGCATGCAGAACAACTCATACCTGCATTCCTGCATTTCCCCTCTTTTGTCGCCCAAAGACCTAGAAAGCCATGGCACACACTCCGCTGCTTTGAAAATTTTCTTAAATTGACCTGGCTTTCCTCATTTCCACTTCCTTTCTCTCCATACTGCAAGGACCGACGACAATGGCAAAGAAGAGATCCAAGCAGCATCGAACCCAAGAGGAATCCGCGAGTCCGATGTCTGTCCAGGTATCTCCGAAGATTGATTATGTCCAGCCATTATCATCGTAGGCGCTGTTGGTCCATTAAAATCAATTATACCTGACCTTTTTATAGACCGTACGAAGCCCCAGTCGTGACCACCACAATCGGGAATAAGAAATATTGCATTCCGGGATATTGTCTTCGGAAATGCCCACAATTTGAACAGCAGTCAGTTTTATATTCATACATAACCCTGCCTGATATTCACGAGGATGTTGGCCATACCTTTGTGCATTTCCTATATTCAGGATGCTACGAGACGATAAACTCATCAGTCGAGGCGGGCACATCCAGTGTGGTAAGAGAGTATAAGAGAAGTGTCCTGGTTTACCAGGCATCCAGGACATACGAGCTTCCTGCTCTTGAAGCCTTTGCCAGAGATTACATAGAACGGTTCGGCGAAGAAATGTCTATGACTGATATACTGCGGATAACAAGGGAGATCTTTTCAAAACTTCCCGACGACGAAACCTGGCTTCCGAAGTATATCGAAAGAAACCTCCGGCAGTCGTTGAGGTCTAGCAAGTCAGAATTCGATCTGGATGAACTTTACAATGCCCTCGGTCAGGATCATTATTTCGATAATACTGTGACGAAAATGATGCTCGAGATACTCCTTCGTTCCCAAGAAATCACCTCGCAGGACGGGAAGAGCCCTTGCGAACAGATGCACAGTCATGGGAACGGAGAGAGAAATGCATCAATAGACGAATCCCTGGACAAGATAACTAATGGGCGACAGTACACAGAAGAGTCGACTAATGGAAATCCCGCTTCTGTGGAGCCTGTTGCTGATGAGCCTTTTGTCGCCGATGAGCCTGTTGCTGATGAGCCTTTTGCCGCCGATAAGCCTGTTGCTGCCGCTGAGCCTGTTGCTGCCGCTGAGCCTGTTGCTGATGAGCCTTTTGCCGCCGATGAGCCTGTTGCTGATGAGCCTGTTGCTGATGAGCCTGTTGCTGATGAGCCTGTTGCTGATGAGCCTGTTGCTGATGAGCCTGTTGCTGATGAGCCTGTTCCTGCCGATTGGCCTGATGCTGCTATCGACGAGCCTGATGCTGCTATCGACGAGCCTGCTGCTGCTGAGGACTCCCCGGATAAATTCCGTCCGACCGAAGTTTCGCTTGGAGATGTAGCTCTATATCAGAACTGGAAGAGCATGTCCTCAAAGAAGAGGGCTAAACGAACACGAACTCTTGTAGCAAGGGGTCTTCCAATCCCAGGGAAAGATGGCATAATTTCCATCTTCGTGGTGTGACGTTTTCTGTTTCGAATATTTTCATTGTTCTTCATATTCGCTGAATTATGCCGGAAATGACAGCTATTAGTTCGCCCGACAATGTCTGTTGGCCATTCTGCGAGTGGCGCCCTTGTTTGCCACGATGCTTGATATTTGCTTGCCTTGGTGTAGGCGACTGAGATAGAATCACGCGTGGCGAATTTCAGTCAAAGACCATTGTCTTTCTTGCTAATGATGGGTTACAGTATGTGTCCTTCAGCAGATCGAGACACCTCAAATACAGATTCCATGTTCTGACCCAGTCTAGAAATTAGCGGTGTTGCTATTCTGGCAATAAACCTGAAATGTACTTCAGTGGAAATCCGTACACGACACCCAGGCCTGTAGAGCAGGAAATAGGGAACTTTGAAAATGAAGGCACGGGTGCCTGTCCTAATTGAGGCCTGTTGAAGCCATGCATTCGTTTAGCCACCGTTGTTTGTCCTTGGTTGATGACACCTAGGACCTGTGAAGTTCTAAAAGCTAGTCGAGATGCAGAGCAAAGAATACCTCGCAATTCCAATTAGATGCGCTTAAGAGCCAGGGCCGCATTCGTTGCTGGGTAAATTATCATTTCCTCAATTTGCCGCTCGACCAAGCCATGTGCATAATCCATGTCAGATTTAGGAGTGAAAAAGCGATGTAAGTTAGAAATGTTTGTAACGTATTTCACATGCGAGCTGGACACCCAAGCGAGCTGGACACCCCAAAACACCATAGTAAATGCGATAAATTACAACATAGTATCACAACAATCATAGGTTATAGGGACTTATCCTTATAAACGAATACTTTTTAGGTGGTATCTAGTCTCTAAGAAAAGTTTAATGAATTTCTATCACTTAATGATTGGGATATATATATTTCTAGCCCCTGGCAACGTAATTTTCGATACCGCAGCATTGTAGGTTTTAGATCTCTTCAAAATTAATATATGGTGATAAAAAGCCTTATCAACAGCTATTGGCAAATAATAAAATAAAACAAAACCGTGGTTGTTGAGATATCAGTGTAAAATATTTCGCATTTACTATGGTGTTTTGGGATGTCCAGCTCGCATGTGAAATACGTTAAGTTATCTGAGAACGATTCTCAATTTGAGTCTGGCCAATCAACCGATCATAGTCATTCGTCAGCCCCGCTGCCAAGATAGTTCTCTCCGGATAAAGGGTTCTTCTATAGATCAGATTCTCAGTCAACCCCCCACACCCCTCCCCCACTTCCATGAGGCTTCTGATGGGACTTGAGGTGATAAGATATGCGATAACTCGACATTAAAAATAGCAAGACCTTTCAAGAGAGAAGATATGGTGAAGGAGGATTTCCACGTTGACGTCCTTGGTGTCGCAAAAAGCTCGGGCCAGCCTGCCTCGATTCTCCAAATTACCTCAAAGTCAACATAACTAATCAACCTGAGAGAAGGCCCATACTCTTGAATGCTTCATATTGATGATGGTGGCTGTTGCCAAAAGCGCGAATACTTCATAGCCTATCGTGGGATACGCGCGTTTGTCAACCCAACTGCTCAACGGAGCGGCTTCCGCGGGTACTGTACTGCTCGCTGACATTTCAAATATCTCTGCCCAACACCAAAAGATCTGGCCCGAAAGACCTGAGGATCCCTTCACTACAAATTCGGCTCTCTCAATTCATCACTCTCCCTCAATTCATCACTCGCCCTCAATTCATCACTCTCCCTCAAGTTACCCTACTACCTCGGTTAATCTTCACCCCGAGCTTCTCTTTCTCTCGTAGTCAACTGTCCGTCACGGATTGAAGTTTGTCTTATTGTTTGTCATATTACGTCCCAAAACTGGTGCGACCACCTTCACTCTTCGATTGTTCCTCGAACCCAATGCCAAGGCTTACTAGTCCAAATCAGGAGTGGCGCCGGGAAAATAGAAATTCATGTATTGCTCTTATTGTGATATAAGGCTGGTGCAGATCAGGAACTAAGCCGCATCATCGGAAATAATTCCTCCACGATGTATACGAAGAACCAAGTTGATTTCCAAATCAACTTGGACTTCGCGTTGTATATAATCTCTTGTACTCCCTCAGAAGTAATGGTATAATCAAGAATTCCTCTGAACTACAACAGCTATCAATACCCAGGCAGCTTGAGTCAGGCTATAAAGCAAAAGAACGTTTGGTACATGTACATTACTCATGCTCGATACCTTATGCGCAGATAATGGCCTCCAAGGCATAGATCCAGATTTGGGACAAACGAGAATTCGCCACGGTTGCATATAATCGCTCCTCCAATTCATCGCTCTTTTTCGTCCCCGAAGTCCCCAGTATTCCAAGATTTGAACTAATACTCCATGACCTATTCCATGCCGTTTCCATCATGCCGATAAGGAAGCGATGTCGTAAAAAAAAAAAAAAAAGCGCCCTTGGATTCTAAGATCCCAGACTTGCCCGGGGAGAGGGATACTGTAACATATCTGATTAGGAGCTCTCGCATGCTCTAACAAGAACTAGTTTACTTAAAGGGGTTAATGCGCAGCTTATAGTATTTTGGAATACGTCTTGATGATGGAATGAGCTGCTTGGGTAGCAGGCGAAAAGTTGACCGTGCACACTGGTCTGCATTCATTGGCTGGCTCGTCATGAAGTCATCGCTGAACTAAAGGGATATGCAGCTGGCTCATTTCTTGCAGCCACGTAAAAAGCTGAACCCGCGTTCGGAGTCACTCTTGGGAGGATTTAAGTG